GCACAAAAAAGCCCCAATCGCCATTTTAGCCATCGGGGCTTTTTTGCGCAAAACAGTACTGTGCTGTCTACACTGGCCCTCTTGCGCAAATGATTTGTGCAAGAGGGCTTTTGCCTGAACGGGAGCAGCACAGTATTTCCACAAGAACACTGACGATCTTACATGAGATCGTCAGTGTTCTTGCGAAAATTCAAGCGGCCAGTGTAGACAGCTGGCATGTTTTTCCGCAAAAGCAGATGATTTTGCGGAAAAACTTGCCAGTCTAGACACGGCCTTTCTGTTTTGGCTGGCAATTCCCAATAAAGAAAGAAACTCATTGGAGAAATGGAGGATATGGTGGCAGTGAAGCTCTCCCCTCCCAAATAAATAACCTCCATCTGGCCTTTCAGTTAAATCCAGTTAATTTCTGCAACTGCTCTGTATCAGCTCCAAGAAGAATTTTTAGCTGAAGGACCCATCTGTAAAACCCACCTATCTTCCCATTAGGAAATCAAACTGTTTTGTTTTAATGGCAGTGTTGGGGGGGGAGGGGGGGGGTTATTTTCAATGTTAATCACATCATTGATTTCAGTAATCTGTCTGTCCTGTGCTATGAATAGATATTCATTCTTTCAAATCTGGACCAGGGTGGATTTTGTCGGTTTGCTTAGAAAAGCCAGATAATTAAAATTAGGACAAATAATGACACTCCAAAGATCCTTCAAGAGTTAAAAACTCTGCATGTGATTTCAATGGTGCAAAGAGCAAAGGTGCCACAGGACTCACCCTGAAGACTAAATCAATTTACCAAGGGCCAGATGCTTTCATCCTTAGTAATGTTCTGTAGTATTTTACCTTTGAATTGTCCCACTGATACTGCTCATGGAATAAGATGCTACTCAATATGAATAAGGGTATCAAAATCTGGCTCCAAGAGGTTGGGAGTGAGGTACTTTGAATAGACTATATGATGCATACTCATGCAGATAATTAAGCTTTCTGGATATGAGGGAGTTTCATACTTTGGTAGGACCAAGAGCTGTTCCACAAAGATTTGTTTGTAGATTATCTGATCCCAGAGAAAGAAATGATCAGTGTTCAACTGTGAACATACAGCAGATTTTTCCTCATACAGGAAAATTGAGAAATACCGTATCAAATGGAAGTTCATGGGAAGCTATGAGGAACCCAAAATATTGATTAGCAGTCATATATTCTTCTTCTCAGAAAACGCCATTGTTGTTGAAAGGTGATCCTTTCTTAAATACAAAATCTTGGATAGGGTGGAGGTGAGGGAAACAAAAACTAGATGATGAAGAGAAACTATTTAAATGATTATTCAAAATGAGTCAGTTTTGGATGTGAGGGGATGTCATTGACTAATTTTCTGCCATAATCTGAAGGATGGATTTACAAGTTTTCAACCAGTCATTTACAGTTCTAAGTTGCAGTGTGGAGCAAAATGCGGCTCTGCAAAAGATTAGTTTTGGTTTGGCAAAGTAAATTCCAGAAAAGATGATGCATGGGATAGCTGTGTGGAGTGCTCTTACAACCAAGATGGTCCCGGGATATAGGAGAGACAAGGTGGGCTTGTTTCTAACATAGCAAAGGTGACAGCCACCTACTGGGATTGATTTTTCTCGTTTGCTTCAGCAAATAAATAAATATAAACATAAACGTCTTTTGGTGCCGGCTCAAAAGGCATGCCCAGTTTAAAGATAGCCTGAGAGTTCTTATTAATCAATACCCCCTACCGAAGAAAGCAGTGTTCAGAATCAGAACCGAAACAGTATTATTAGAAAATGATATAGTGCACGTTAGGATGTATAATTCATGTTGCCTTCATTTGTTCAGACCAGCGTAAAAATCCATAAATCATTTTCTCGTTCATGTATTGCCTAAGTGCAATTTGTCATTTTGCATTAGAGGACTGCTTCAGATCATCAGCACTTTTAATTCACTGGTTAGAGATTAACAAAACAACGGCCCTGCTTGACAATTGAGTGCATAGGAAGAAAGCCCTATAGCATGTAGTATAAACAAAATGGAGACTTGTGTTTGTTTTGTAAATGAGGGAATAAGAATGCACTTATCCTGAGCTGGGACAAAGCAAATGGATCTATTTGTTCTCAGAGATCCTCTAAGTATTATATACTTCTCAACAACTGTGTTTATGTGAGTAGGCTTCCCCATTTAACCTAGCAGCTCCAGTGTATTTTCAATGCTGGCTGCATGGAGACTTATTTCACAGGGGTACATCCTAGGTGCCAATAGCCAAATGAGTCATATTACTTTAAAATGTTTATTTATGCTCCACCACTGAAAACACAGGTACACAATGTTTATTTGGAAGTGACCAGCTTGCTTTCTTGATGAAATGCAGTGCCACTGGCTTTGGTGGCAATTGGTTGTTTAATAGCACCAGGCAGCTGACCTTTACCTTTTGAGGGTCCCTGTTTATTGTCACATCTGGACTTACTGCTTTTACTCAATTACTTTTTAAAAATCACCTTTCTATATTCTGAGCATTGAGCTCTGGCACACTGCAATAATAAGAGGCTTTAGAAACAGATTGCTTTCAAGTCATGTTAAATCACTGCAAGCAGTCATATAGCTAGACTTAGGTTAACTAAGTGCCTCCCCCCCCCAAAAGGAAAATAGGATAAAACCTCCGAGTTTCTTTTGAAGTTTGTTCTTATGCATGTAAGGAGGAATTGTTGCATTTTAAAGAAAAATAAGCAGTGGGAAGAAAAATAAACACGATTCAAATCCAAAATAAACAGCCTAAGTCGTTAAATCATTTTATTATAGAAAATCCAGCCAAGTCTATCAGTCAAACTGTGCTCCTAGAACTTTCGTTTTGCTACGGAATGAAAGGTGGGGAATGAGAATTGTTAGTGTAGGGTCGACTTCCCGCGGTGTGAGCACTGATGGGTAACTTTAATGGTTCACCCCCTCTCTAGGTTGCTGCTCTGCTGTAATTACTGCTCCCGTGGAGAGGCAGCACTGTGTTTGTTATACTGCACTTCAAAGCAGCCGTCATTACAACAACAAAACCATTTGTTTATGTAATCCCTGTAAACTAAGAGCGGTGGACGCTGCCTGTGAAGAAAAATCAACAGAGCAAAGCGAATACATTAAACCTTAAAGTTGGTGATAAATGCAAAGGAATGCAAAATACGATCCCAGTTCAGGGCGGATGGAAAGGGGATTTCATGCGAGATGGAGTATGCTTGGGTCAACATCTGGATGGTGACTACTAGCTAGATAAAAAATCCATTAAAATTCCCTAGCTGCAGCTGCATGCAGAGCTTTGAATATTTTGGATAACAGCTCCTGCAAGCGAATACAAAAAGAAGCATGTGAATAACCAACAATTGAGTAACTCACGTATTGAATATAAACAGCTATTGAGATAAATAAATTAAAGCATCTTACAGCACAGTTTCATCCTGTGTAGACATTGGGGAAATCCGGGAAGAGAGGAGGAATGAAGCCAGCCCGGCGTCCTGCACAGAAATGCCTCTAAAGAAATGTCAGCTTGTCTGCAATGAGCGACTATAACCACTAGGAGGAGCCTGTTACCTACAATTGCAAACCAAATCCACTCATCCTTCAGCTACTACATCTGTAGAAAACTTAAGCGTTATAGTTGATGCAGTGATTATTTACAACCAGACCCGTCCATCTATTGTATCTCTCTCTCTCCCTTTAAGATTTCCCGGTTCCAATGAATTGTCAGCGTTTGCGTAAAACTTAATTTCCATTCCCAGATAGTCAGAAGCAGAGATTTAACAACCTGCATTGTCATTGAAGTGGCTTAAAACCCCCCCATAGATGCATACAAAATACAGAGACATTTTGAAATGCACCAGAATTTCGAGGAGTCAGCTAAACCCCCTTCAAGTTACGTGTCCTTCCTTTCCGATGGTTGGAGTAAAAAATAAAATAAAAAGGGGGGGGGGGCAGGGAAACAAGGGTGATATATTGATCCGATGACTGTATTCATATTCAGATACGCCATAATCTCCTTTCCATTGATCCACAGGTCCTTTTATAAACTGTCTCTCCATTCTGAGCTCCAGACATCATGCTGAAATCATTTTAGCTGCAGCGGCTTTAGCTTGGCTTTGCCGGGTTGTAAATTTACTGCAGCTGGAAAAGGATTAGCCATTTTTTTTCTTGGCAACCTAGCTTTAACAGCTCAAAGATAGGACCCATTCACATGAAAGAGCGAAGGAAAGAGAAGACCAGACTGCAATGAATGAACAGCCAGAGAGATAAATACAAACTTGTATAAATACATAGGATTTTTTAAATAAATGAACATATATGGAGATGTAATTTCCCTTATTTCCACAATAGGAAAATGCTCCTGAACAGATTGTTGAAATGTATCAAGGGAAGCCATCCTTCTACTTTTTCACTAATTATGATCAAAGATGTGATGAGGTATCACTAATCTTAAAAGAGGTCTCTTTGTCTGCCTGATTATTGATGTTCCTTATAAACAATTACCAAATAGCGTTTAGTAGACAGTGAAATTGATGAACATTTGTGGAAGGTTTAGAAAGTTATATAAATGGAACTTCAATTTAATGAATCACTATTGTGTAGAACACTAACGTGTTCACAGTTTAGATTTATGAACACTTGTATCAAAATCAACCTATAAATCTTAACGGATGTTTTGCATTTTAATGTAGACACATACATAAGTATCCCCAGAATGGGTGTTATCTATGGGCTGCAAATGCAAAACCTATCGATATCAATGGAGCAATTGTCATTGACCTTATTTATCAGCCTTCTACATGTACTGCCCTTCTGCTGCTAGAAAGGCATATCGTGTGCTGGTGTTGTACAAGGCGTAGGACTAACAAATGTGTGTCGCTGCAATAGCTACAAAATACTATTTATCAATGCAATTTCCATGTCAGGAAAGTTGAAACAATAGTAAATACCAAGAAAAAAAAGAATAGTCCTTTCTTTCAAGAACATTTTATTAAATACTATTTTTCATCGTTAAAATATTGACTTCTATTGACCCTTCCCATCTAACCCCCTTTTCCTCTCACACAAAGTACTTTGAGATCAAGCACTGTCGCTATTAAGTCCAGTCCATCATACACATTATATTTTACTTTGACTTACATCTTGTGCCATCTCTTTCACTTCAGTGAATCTACAAAGGTGCCAATCAGACCAAGATTTGGCCCCAATGCATGATGGTGTTAATTAGATGAGACTAGGAAAATGTATACGCGTGTGATGGAAACTAACATTCTCTGAGTTGTCAACTAAGTAATTATTTAAGGCAGCCCAGTTTCCCTTGTTTATTTTTTAAATGTTTGTTTTACCATTGAATCAGATATACAGCTGGCCAAATAGGAAAAAAAAAGTTAGTAGATGATGGAAATTCCTCCTCCGTGGGGAAAACTGGTTATTATTATCGTCTTGCTTCGCATTGATGACGGTAGGTGATCTCCCTATTCAGTAACTGCAGCAGGGGAATAGTAACTTTCCGAGGCAGAGATTCCCCAGTAAGCGCTTCGGGAGCTGCAGGGTTATTCTCTCTCTCTCTCTTTCTCTCTGGCATGTACACAGACCAACTAGAGCTCTGGGTTCTCCCCCCTCACTCCCCTGTGATGCACCCTGCTTGACGTGCGTTGGATCCAATGGGCTGCCGCCCCTGTGGGTGTTGCTACACGCTCATTGGTTGGCAGGAGCAGGGCGCTGCGCAAAAACAGAAAAGCAGAGCGCTCGGAGCTCAGAATCTGCCAGTAGAGATCACAGGAGCTGGAGCCGGGACAGGAGAAGAACTGCAGCGAGAGAGACACAGAGAGAATGAGGGTGAGAGAGAGTGAGAAGAAAAAACAGCAAGAGAAAAAAGACTGATCAGCACGTCAATAAAGAGCAACATGATAATCAACATCATAACAATGGCAATAAAAGAAGAAACTACAAATAAAAGAAAGAAAATATGAAATCATTATTATTAAAATAAAGGAGAAATCCCAGAGAAATTCAGGAAATGAAAGTTTTGGGCGGCAAACCTGCTCTCAGCCTTTTTGATATCAGATCATTTTGCTGGTTATAATTTTTTTTCCATTTTTTTTGCCTTTTTGCATCTAAAGGGGGCATGTCCAGCGGTTCATCCAGCAGCATCTATCCTTCCTGTTCCCATCAGGAAGGCAAACCGAGGACAATCTTGAAATATAAAAATTTCCTCCTTGGGATTTGCTGCTGTTGCCTTCACTGCCGCTGCAGCGGTGCAGTGCCAAGACTCCCGGAATAAATAAGAGCGGGCTACTGTGTATACAGTGTGTATCTCTATCTCCATTCAGCTCTAGGCATTATTAGTTGGTCATTTATTCCGAAGACCACAGATGAGGAGGGGACGCCTGTCTTTTTCGTTTGCTCAGCATATGACATAATCATAAAGAGAGGGAAATGGGGAAGAAAAAAATCTCACTATGAAGCAGAAGGAATAATAATAATAAAAAAAGCCCTAGCTCTAAATCCGACTCCCCCCTCCCTTCACACACGCACGCTGCCCTCAGTATTTCGAGAGGAGGAGGTGGTGGTTTCTGAAGGAGGAAGTGGTGTTGGGGGGGGATCGCTTTCCCCTTTTGGAGATGATTGTGCTATTCCTCCTTGCCTTGCTCTGGATGGTGGAGGGAGCCCTTTCCCAGCTTCACTACACGGTGCAAGAGGAGCAGGAGCATGGCACGTTCGTGGGGAATATCGCCGAGGACCTGGGCTTGGACATTACAAAACTTTCGGCTCGCCGTTTCCAGACGGTGCCCAACTCCCGGAGTCCTTACCTGGAGCTCAACCTGGAGACCGGGGTGCTGTACGTGAACGAGAAGATCGACCGGGAGCAGATCTGCAAGCAGAGTCCCTCCTGCCAGCTGCACCTGGAGGTCTTCTTAGAGAACCCCTTGGAGCTGTTCCGGGTGGAGATCGAGGTGCTGGACATCAACGACAATCCTCCCTCCTTCCCTGAGCCGGACCTGACCGTGGAGATCTCCGAGAGCGCCACGCCGGGCACCCGCTTCCCACTGGAGAGCGCCTTCGACCCGGACGTGGGCACCAACTCGCTGCGCACCTACGAGATCACCCCCAACAGCTACTTCTCGCTGGACGTGCAGACCCAGGGCGACGGCAACCGCTTCGCCGAGCTGGTGCTGGACAAGCCCCTGGACCGCGAGCAGCAGGCGGTGCATCGCTACGTGCTGACCGCGGTGGACGGGGGGCAGCCCCAGCAGCGCACCGGCACCGCCCTGCTCACCATCAGGGTGCTGGACTCCAATGACAACGTGCCCGCCTTCGAGCAGCCCGTCTACACCGTGTCCCTGCCGGAGAACTCGCCGCCGGGCACCCTGGTGCTGCAGCTCAACGCCAGCGACCCGGACGAGGGCCAGAACGGCGAGGTGATCTACTCCTTCAGCAGCCACATCTCGGCCCGGGCGCGGGAGCTCTTCGGCCTCTCGCCGCGCACGGGCCGGCTGGAGGTGAGCGGCGAGCTGGACTACGAGGAGAGCAGCGTGTACCAGGTGTACGTGCAAGCCAAGGACCTGGGGCCCAACGCCGTGCCCGCCCACTGCAAGGTGCTGGTGCGGGTGCTGGACGCCAACGACAACCCGCCCGAGATCAGCTTCTCCACCGTGAAGGAGGCGGTGAGCGAGGCGGCCGCGCCGGGCACGGTGGTGGCCCTGTTCAGCGTCTCGGACCGGGACTCGGAGGAGAACGGGCAGGTGCAGTGCGAGCTGCTGCAGGGCGACGCGCCTTTCCGCCTCAAGAGCTCCTTCAAGAACTACTACACCATCGTGACCGAGGGGCCGCTGGACCGCGAGCAGCCGGGCGGCGACGCCTACACCCTCACGGTGGTGGCCCGCGACCTGGGCGAGCCGGCTCTGAGCACCAGCAAGTCCATCCAGGTGCGGGTGAGCGACGTGAACGACAACGCGCCGCGCTTCAGCCAGCCCCTCTACCAGGTGTATGTGAGCGAGAACAACGTGCCGGGCGCCTACATCTACGCCGTCAGCGCCACCGACCGGGACCAGGGCGCCAACGCCCAGCTCGCCTACTCCATCCTGGAGAGCCAGATCCAGGGCATGTCGGTCTTCCCCTACGTCTCCATCAACGCCGAGAACGGCTTCCTCTACGCCCTGCGCTCCTTCGACTACGAGCAGCTCAAGGAGTTCAGCTTCCAGGTGGAG